CAGTATCACCGCAGTTGGTCGGCTGCGTCACGGGTTGACAGGTTCCGACACCGCCGACGATAGAGTCGCACTCGAAGCCTTCAGGACAGTCTCCTTGGACCTGGCGCTTCGCCCTGGGGATGGCCACAGGGACGGTGCAGGACTGCGGCACACAGACGGTGCCGACGCAGGTGGTTCCGGTTCCGCAGGCGGGTGTGCAGGTGGCGGGCACGGTAGGTGTGCAGATGCCTGTGTTGCCGGTGGCGACAGTGCAGGTGAAGCCGTCGGGACAGTCGGCCTGGACCTGGCGCTTCATTGTGAACCTCGTCAACTCGGGGAGGGTGCAGACCTGGGGAAGACACTGGCCAGCGATGCAGGTGGTTCCCGTCGGGCAGTCTGGCGTGCAGGTGTTAGGAACCTCGGGCGTGCAAGTTCCACTGTCGCCTGTGAGAATCGTACAGACCGAGCCGTCGGGACAGGTACCCTGGGACAGACGATTCGCCATCTTGAGGGTAGGGGCGGGAATCGTGCACCCGAGAGGCACGCACGTCGTGCCCACACACAGGGAGCCGGCCGCGCAGGTTGGGTTGCAGGTCTCCGGGGTTGTAGCAGGCAAACAGACACTGGGACCACCTCCAGCGGGAACAGTACAGACGAAGCCTTCAGGACAGTCACCCTGGCTCTGGCGCTTATCGAAGCGTCGGAACAGAGGCAGTGTGCAGGTGTTTGGCACGCAGATACCGCCGACACATGTCGAACCAGCATTGCACGTGGGTGAACAGACGGGAGGTGTAACGACAGGAACACAGACGCTACCAACACAGTTGAAGCCGTCGGGACAGTCACCCTGGGTCTGTCTCTTGCTGATGTCGAGTGTGACTGTGCACGTGTTCGGTACGCAGACACCGCTGACGCAGGTAGTATCACCCGTGCAAGCCGGGGTGCAAGTCTCAGGGCCCGTGAGATCTGGTACGCAAATGGTCGCGCCACCAACAGCAGCGACGCAGAGGAAGCCATCGGGACAGTTACCCTGGGATTGGCGTTTACCGAGCCGCAAGCCCACTTCGATGATGCACGTCTGCGGCACACAGGCGTTGTTGACACAAGTCTGGCCTGTGGTACAAGCGGGTGTGCAACCAGTCGGTGGCGTCAGATCGGGGATGCAGATGCATATGCCGCCTACGCCAAGGGCGCAAACGAATCCATCGGGACAATCACCTTGTGTCTGTCTTTTGAGAAGGTTGACGCCGATGCTGATGGTGCACGTCTGAGGCACGCACTGTCCGTCGACACAGGTGAAGCCAGGGCCGCAGACCGGGTTGCACACTTCAGGGCCGAGATCAGGCACACAGGCGCCTACGCCGCCAACGCCGATGACGCAGTTGAAGCCGTCAGGGCAGGTTCCTTGTGTCTGACGCTTCAAGATACCGATGCTTTCGTTGGGAATGGTGCATGTGTCAGGAACGCAGACATTGTTGATGCAGGTCGAGCCTGCAGCACAGGTCGGGTTGCACACATCGGGATTGACGGTCGGCACACAGATGCCAGTGCCGCCGGCGCCGACAGCACAGGTAAAGCCCTCAGGACAGTCGCCCTGCTGACGCTTGTCGAGGGCGAGACCACTGACGGTGGGCAGGTTGCAGGTGGCCGGGACACAGGTATTGGCGACACAAGTCTGGCCATTGCTGCAGGCCGGCTCACAGCCTGGGTTGGTATCGGGAATGCAGACGCCATCGCCGCCCACACCGAGGGCGCAGGTGAAGCCTTCGCCGCACTCAGGGGTGCACGTGGGAGGCGTCACATCAGGGACGCAGATGCTGACACCGTTGACACCGAAGATGCAGTTGAAGCCGGGGCCGCACGCGGGGTTGCACTCGGGCTGCGAAATCTCAGGCACGCAGACGCTGAGTCCGCCGGCTCCGATGACACAGGTGAAGCCGGTACCGCACTCGGGCGTGCACACAGGGGGTGTGACGTCGGGAATACAGATACCCACGCCACCAGCGCCAGCCGAACAAGTAAAGCCAGTGCCGCATTCGGGAGTGCACACAGGAGGCGTGACATCGGGAACGCACACGGTGATGCCGAGCGCGTTGATAACGCACGTGAAGCCATCTCCACACTGAGGGTTGCAGACGGGTGGCACGACGACGGGAATGCAGACACTGAGGCCGCCGAGGCTGATGACGCAGGTAAATCCTTCGCCGCACTCAGGTGTGCAAGCAGGAGGCGTGACATCGGGTACACAGACGCCAACGCCTCCCAGACCAAGGGTGCACGTCGATCCCTCAGCACACTCGGGAGTGCAGACGGGAGGGCCGACATCGGGGACGCAAATCGAGACACCTCCAACACCAAGGGCACAGGTGAAGCCATCGCCACACTCGGGTTCGCAGGTGGGAGGCGTCACGTCCGGCACGCAGACGGAGACGCCGTTGATGCCAAGGACGCAAGTAGAGCCCTCTGCGCACTCAGGGTTGCACGTGGGCGGTTGGTCAGGCACACAAACGCCGATGATGCAGGTCGAACCAGCAGGACACCCGTTGGGACAGGTAGGGAGCACGATAGGCACGCATGCGCCGTTGAGACACGTCTCGGGCGCAACGCAAGCAGGCTCGCACTCGTTCGTGACGGGCACACAGACACCAAGAACACAGGTCGCTCCAGATTCGCAAGCTGGCTCACAGACACCGGGTCCCGTCGGCGGCACACAGACGCCGTTGACGCAGGTATCGGTTCCAGTGCAGGCCGGTGTGCACGTGGGGTTCGCGGGAACACAGACGCCGAGGACACATGTGTCGGTCCCAGTACAAGCTGGGTCGCATAAGCCAGGGTTGGGCAGGACGATGCAAACACCCTCAACGCATTGCTCTCCGCTGTCGCACTCGGAATCATTCGTGCAGGTGTCGGGAGGATTCGGCACACACACGGGGCCATTGGGACCCATGGCACAGGTCGTACCGGGCGGGCAGGATCCCGTCTGGCGACGACCGACAGCCGCCGCCGGGTCGATATTGCAGGTGGGGCGGATCGATGATGGGCAGACACGTATCGTCGGGTCCGCAGACGAAACCGGGGTCCGCAAGCGGGATTGCATCCGGAGGGTGGAGTCACCGGCACACAAACGCCGTTAGCGCACAGCTCACCGGAGCCGCAGGGTGGGTCGCACACGGGGCCGGTAGTGGGGACGCAGACGCCGTTGACGCACGTGTCAGTTCCGGTGCACGCCGGATCGCATGTGACGGGGCCGACCGGCGGCACACACGCGCCGTTGATGCAGGTATCGAGGCCAGTGCAGGCTGGTGTGCAGGTATCAACAGGAGGGACGCAGACGCCATTGACACAAGAGTCGTCTCCTGTGCATGCTGGATCGCAGGTGCCGGGAGGGTTGGTTGATGGAACGCAGACGCCATTCAGGCAAACCTCATCAGAGTCGCAGGCGGGAGTGCAAGTAACAGGTCCGACAACGGGAACACACTGACCGTTAACGCAGACGGACCCAGGTGCACAGGTGGGATTGCAGACAGGGCCAACAGGAGGGACGCAGACGCCGTTGAGACATGTAGCGCCGCCAGTGCAAGCAGGGTCGCACGTCTCGGGTCCGACGAGGGGCACGCAAACACCGTTGACGCAGGTCGAGCCAGGAGGGCACGAAGGCTCGCACGTTACAGGACCCACGACGGGAACGCATTGGCCGTCAACACACTGGGAGCCGGGCTCGCAGGCCGGATCACAGGTGACAGGTCCCACGACAGGAACACAGACACCATTAATGCATGTGTCGGTACCGGAGCAGGCAGGGTTGCAAGCAGGGCCGGCATCAGGGACACAGACACCATTAATGCACGTGTCGTCGCTGTCGCAAGGCGGGAAGCAGACGTTGGGGCCAACAATGGGCACGCACACGCCATTGGCGCACGTCGAGAGCGGACCGCAAGCAGGGCTGCAGCCGGGTCCCACAGGGGGAATGCAGACGCCGTTGAGGCAGCTATCGTCGCCTTCGCAAGCGGGATCGCATCCACCAGGCTGGGTGAGCGGGACGCAGGCGCCGTCAACGCATCTTTCGTCCTTGGCGCAGGTGGGGTTGCAGACACCAGGTTCGCCGTCGCCTCCTCCTCCTCCCCCTCCTCCGGGGACGCAGGTATCTTTGAGGCAGACGAAAGAAGGAGGACAAGCTCCGTAAGAGCCACAGCTGCCAGGATTGCCGGGCGTCAGGTCAACACAGACGGCGCCGCCAATGCAGACCTCGTTGGGTCCACAAACAGTGTCGCCGCAAGGACAGTCAAAGACGTAGTCGCCGTCAGGTCCACCGCCGGGCTGGCCAATGTAGACGGGACGACAGCTGTCGCGGTAGCAGAATTCGCCGTTTGAGCAGCCACTGCCGCATCCCTCGAATTCGCTGCCGCCGCCCAGCGGCAGGCATGTGTTGCCGCAGCAGAAAGAGTTGGGACCGCACGACTTGTCGCCGCAGCTCGAGGGGCGGCCAAAGTTATAACACTGTCCATTGTGTTGCACGCTGCCATAGCCAGCATCGGGGAACCAACCGCCGTACTGCGCGGATCCCTTGACCGTGCCTGAGCTAGAACTGCCAGAGCCTGAGCTGGATCCCGAAGATGACCCAGACCCAGACCCAGACCCAGAGCCGCCTTGTGGCTGGCAAGTCTTGGGTAGGTCGTCAAAGCAGACACCCGAGACAGAGACCTGGCCCTCGGGACAACTGCCAGGGTAGGTGCTGATGTGCATGGGAACAATATCGGACTCCCAGCAGAATGTGCCGGGGTGCAGATCTTCTTTCTTGCACTTGTCGAGCGGCTGGCCGACGGCAACATCGTGGCACCCGCCGTCGACACATAGCTGGCCTGGCTCGCAGGTGGCAGCGTCAACGCCGCAGTGGTACGGATCGGTGCCGACAATAATGGTGGATGAGCCGAGGGTGATGGGGGAGCAAACGCCATTGTCGCAGTAGTTACCAGGATCGCAGGCTTTGGTTTTGTCCTTGCCAGGTCCGCAGACATGCGGGTCTTCGGTGAGGTCGAGAGGGATGGCAATGCCGTTGACGCAGACTTCGCCGGGAGCGAGTTCGACGGGCGTGATATCGCCGCAATGCAGCGGATCGAGGATGATCTGAATGGGCTCGCATTTGCCTTCGTCACACCATTGGCCCGGCTCACAGCCGTCGGGGCACGACTCGAGAGCGTCGCCAAAGGTAAGGGGCTGACATGTGCCGTTGACGGCGAGCTCGGCCGCCTTGCAGCCGTGTTCCTTGGGGTTCAAGGAGATAACTGACCAGCAGGGTTCGTGTCGGGCGCCGCGGGCAACCAGGCCGGCGGCGGAGGGGGAGTCGATGGAGGAGGAGCGAGTGACGCGGCGCATGCTGGAGGCGCCCGCAATGCTGGCCTGGCTGGCGAGCAGAGCAAAGGCTGCCAGGCTCAGCCGATCAATGTTATTTGTCATCATAATGTCGACTGTTGTTGTTAGTAGTGGGATCTCAGATCATGATCGTGCTGATGATGAGATGGATGAGATGAGCGAGTAACCGAAAGGCCAAGAGAAGAGGACAGGAGTGATTTATACTTGATATCAATTCGATACCATGGAACCCAAAGTCATAGATACTGATATGGTTTGTCGGAAAGGGGCTGAGGCGGATCCCAGGGTTCGAGACTGGGATTCAGCAGGACCCAAGCCCCGGGTCGCTATGTCGCTCACCTCGACGCTTTCGTAGATTCCTCTGCTGCAAAGAACGGTATGATGTGGTACCCATACGAGGTTCAGGGATATTCTCATTCCATCTGCCGCGTCGCGTCGATTCCAAAGGATCACCCATCACCAGCTCCACGGCCTGCTCAGCCGCAGCCCTAGGGTTCCTTAGGGTCTGGGCTTCACGACCACGAGGCTCCAAGAGAAGCACGGTTGCGGACATATTCATGGCCTAGGATGGGTTAGACATTCTCAAAGCTCTGGACTTGTCTAACATGCCTGGAGCTATGGTGCAGGCCGCTGGGTGGCAACGCTGTCGCGCAGGGCGTGATATGTCCTCGGTGGGGCACGAACGAGTTGGCTTGAGATCCAATATCATGGCCTAAAACAAACGACACGAGGAGACTAGTCAAAACTTTACCGCCCGTGTATATGCTTCCTGTGCCTATGTTGTGGATCGTGTGGAGGTTGCCACAATACCAGCCTAGGGCAGGGAGCATGGGAGGCGCTATCAGCGAGGAACACGACGCGGAGGATCTTTGTCACTTTCGTCACAAAAGCTCAAGCCGGAAAGTGACGCAAGGCTTGGCCTTGAGGCCCAGGCCTTGGCAGCATCATGCTGGTGTGCACTGGTGAATGGTCGGCCAAGATTCTTCATAGACGAGCTTCTGAACCTATTCGCACCATATCCTGGCCTTCACTTCCACCTCTTGAGATGTCCAACTTCATTTGTTTTCATCCACCACGTGTAGCTCACCGTCAACGTGACTACCATGCATGCACCAAGCTGGAAGTCGACCGTCTGTCTTGACCGAGTACGTCGCGAAAGCTCCTTCATTCGAGGTCTTAAACAGCCAAACCCCTGCATTCCACCGTAGATCAGATCACTACAGAAAAAGCGCCGCCCACACTCTGCACCTCGTACCTTGCAGGCTAAGACGCCACATGCCACTCCTCATGGCTCGTTGATCCTGTCGCATCCGCACATCCGCTGGCTCCTCAGCTCGTGCGGCCCCCCAACGGAAGAGCGTTACACAAGGACCGAGCCTGACGCTTGCGGCTCGATCTCGTCGCCGCCGCACAGTAGCCACGCTAGCCACACGATACTCATGATTGTGACAAGGTCATTCTTCTCCTAATAGGATGCTCCTTTGGAAAGCGAAGCAAAGTGCATTTCTGGCTAACGTCCACTTATTCGCTCGACAAGGGAGGATCGACAGCATACTGCCAAAAGGAGTATGGCGCCATCTCGACTAGGAGAATGTAGTCCGATCAGAAAGGGAGCTAGGCGGGGTTGGCTCCCCTTGCTAGTCGACCTGTCATCCAGCTAGACTCGCACAAAGACGAGGTGGGTAGGCCTCCCGTCGCGATCAGTCCACAGCTCGCAGGGCTAGATCCATCGGCAAAGGGAAGCCGAAGCCTCCAATGCCCTGGAGGGGACCTTGTCTGAGACATTTCACTCGTGGCTGAGATGCCAAGCATCCCTCATGCAAGCGGCCACAGCGAGCACTCCCCACGGCAGCCCCTGAGAAGGGCATGACGACCAGACTCCTCAGCTTTTCTGCCCGTCCCCCTCTTTTCCTAGAGAACCACTGCCCGAAGCCCGAGACAGACGGCGGGCCAAGATGGAGGCGTGGTTTAGTCATCGCTAAAGCTGGCCTGTTCCGGCTACCTGCGAGGCGCGGCACCAGACGCAAGCCGAGACGCCAGGCTTCTGGGAGTTTCGTGTTTGCGGATGAATGATCTCATTCTACAGGGTTGTTATCTTCACAAAGTCGACAGGGCACAAGCACCAGATCCCGACGCGGTCAGATCATCCCGTCGGGGGTTACAATCCGAGCGGCATAGGCTGGGGAGAACATGTACTAGGCCTAATTGGATGCCTCCTCATTCCCGATTCGTCCTGCTCCTGTGTAAATTCTTCACAATCAGACAAGACAATCCCTGTGCACTTTGTTGTAGTACAAGGGAGAGCCCACCTAGCACCACTTGTCAACACACCACATTGTTCGGGAAGCAGAAAAAGAGGGGGCCGATTAGCAGTGATGGGGGGAGAAGGCTGTGATCGGTCAAGGACTGAATTGTCTAGCCCTGGTCTCCTTGCATTCCCCTGCCGCTGTCACCTCGAGTCTCACAATCTGGACCCCTCATGCGGTCTTGCTAGAGCGAGTGCCGCGAGTCAACCAGGCCATCCATGGCCTGCGCAGTTGAGACAACCACACCAAGCCACGAAATATCTGATCAACGCCACAAACTTGTCCATCCCCCCTTCAGACGCGATGATGTTTAATGATTTTTGGGGACGAGTGCCGGAGATAAGGAACCATTTGCCATTCAACTTTGTTTGGCCTCACCAAATGTGGACGGTTCTGCCCCAGCAGGGCATACCTCGTCAGACGCCCTAAAAAAGAGTGCGCAAGCCTTCGACACCACTTTTTAGAACACTAGTAGACGGGCGTAGAAAAAGGCCAAGCCGGGAGATCATCAGCAGCGCGTTCCCCCCGAAGCGCCGCTGATCTGACTGTTCGCACGGGGGTTGGGGCTGCCCGCAGGAAAAGGCGAGCCGATGCCAAGAGCTTGACAGCTCGGTTGGGGAGGAGCGAGCAGTCCGGTGCAGAAGAAACGTGATAGCATTGATGTTTGCGGCTTCGGTTGCGGCGTGGTTCAGGCGTCCAAGCTTGCAAAGTCTAGGAGGCTGGGAGCTCAAGATTGGAGCTTGGGGCTTGGGTGCTGGAGCTTAAAGCTCGGAGCTGTCGAGATGATAGATAGCGCGTCTGAGCGGGTAACCGAAGGTCGGCGGTCCGAGACAGGGGGTCACGAGGCGTAGCAGACGGCGGTGGTCGCTCGGGAACTCACTCAGCCGTGTTCCTAGCGACTACATTGACCTGACACTAGCAACGGGCAAAGTACTCTGACTCTTTTGTTTCCATCTGGCGTCTGCTACGACACGGCACTGGGGACTCTGAGCGTTGTGACACCCGTTAAGCACGCTAATAGTGTCGTGGGACAACCGCAAACATCACACCATTGAGTTGCTGTGCTGCAGCTGAGAAGTGTCCCACACGTAAGTCCCAGGATCCTCATCACACGCTTAATACAGCATGATGTTTACATTTCGGTTAGTCTAGGCGTTGAGATTTGCAGACCTCGTGTTGCCATACTTCCTAGTATGGCTCAACCGTGATCTCAAGCTGGAGATTCAACCACGTAAGCGAGGCACTGCGGGCAATGTCTGACCAACATCCCCTTTTCGTCGCAGCCCATGGCCGTTTGCATCTTTTCTTGGCAGTGCGCGCTTTGGTGAGGGTGATGAGATCGTTAAGCGAAGGTAACACGTCACGCGTCAGAAGCGCGTCTTATCGATGGTCACCTGAAAAGTGTGGTCTCAAGCTATCTCAGCAGAATTACCTGGTCTAGTCAGCTGGCGGTCTTGGCCTCCTTCAAATTGGCTGGGGATAATTGAGTTTTCACAGCAAACCTTCGATTCACCTCTTCCCGTTTGCTCCTTGGTAGCCATCCTGTTTCCTGGTCCGCGGACAAGTGGCTTCTTCCGTTTACCGGCAGTTTACAGTATGAGTAGCCCAACGTTTTCTGCTATCTTGAGACACACGCAAGCTTGTGATACTGAATACGAGGTGAATTTCGGAGAGCCAGGGGCTGTAACGGTGTTAATTCAAACCGGCGCCTCTGGGCTGACGCACGCACTTTTGAGTTCTTTATCTTTCAGCCGTGGCTTACTGGAGAGAAAATGCAATCTAGATTATAAGGGATGTCGAGAATGAGGAACCAACGACAGTGGAATACAGTATGTGTCATAGATAGCATGAGGGTAGGAGAAGTACCACACTGCCAAACATGATGTGACAAGTGGAGGCTCCGTCAACGTCTGCTCTGTCTAGACTGGCCGGAGAGGCCCGCTCGATAAGGCGTAAATGCTGAGAAACTAAAATCCTTCATCCGGAAAAGCACTCTCTGTGTATCTATTAGACATCCAGGGAAGCCAATCAGGGGTCCCGTGGGGTGCACGATTTTATCGTCATGCCCCGCCATTCTGTACACATGCATGCCATTCCTTTGAGCCACAGTGTGCGACTCCGTATGAAATGACAAAACAATTGAAGAATCTGTGCATCATTGACTTTCATGACTTCATGTGCCTGGTAACCATGGCTGGCAGCACTAAATAGCTTTTTCAATTCGACAAAGCGCATTCTCGGAGAGGCAAGTCGCCCGGCCGATGTAGCTTCGCATAGCTCAGGCACCACTGTTGGATGCCGATGTGATATCTGTGCTCAGGATCCTAAATCTTTTCTTGTCCGTCACAGTGGTTTCTATAGCCTTGAGCCTTGCGGTTCCAGGCCCATCAGCCCTCATTGCGAAGCATCTGACTCTTGGTGCCCGGCCAAGGTTGTAACATAGCCAGTGGCTGGGTGCGACAGCATGCGGGATACTAACTGATAATGAGGCTGAAAATTCTGTCACCATAGAGAAGTCATCACATTTCAAAGCCTGTGCGAGTAATAGTCCGGCTTTGTTCTGCGTTGTAGCCTGCCATAACCTGTCCACCCGACGCAACTCGAATTGTATTGGCGGAATCTGCGCACAAAGGAATGGTGAAACTGACAGCTACACATGTTACATCTCTGGTCTGAAAGCGGGATTATAATAGCTTTGTCCTGTTGTTCTTCTGCCCAATGGTATTGTTGATCTGATGGGATTTTGGTCCCCATATCCGGGTCCAACCTGGGGAGGCCTGGGCGATTGCATGAGCAAGCTCAATTAACGACATGGAATCGAATCCAACGTAATGAGTTGGATATTGATGATTCATTTTGAGACGAGGAGGACGGCAGTCAGGATAGGGCTCTCATTGCGATGGGACCTGTTAGAAAGCATAGTATTCTGGGAACTGGAAAATGAAGGTTGTTTGATCTACGCGATCTAGAACAAAAGGTTCAATGCCATAAAGGAGTGAATCAATGTCCAAATACAATTTGCTGATTCTTAAATAAAGTGGAACGGAAGCAGTCCGCGATGGTACTTCGACTTGCTGCCGATGTCCCTCGGTGTAGGATCGTGATTTTACTACGTACGTGTCTAATCTCTCCCCCCCCCCCCCAAAAAAAAAACGGACATATCCTCACCAAATTTAAGAAGCGATTACTATGTACTCAGCCACTAATAGCCATGTCTCTGCGCCTGTCGCTCATCTTCGGCCATGACGCTCATGGGCTTTCTCCGAATCAGGCCACCTCCGATCTGCATCGGCCCACACAGTTGCAGGGATATGTTCAGGGGTATCTTTATGAACCAAGGGCCCGGCCCTTGCAGTTCAAGGCGGTCCAACAACCGACTTGCACCCCTCAAGCTCGGGATCGCACGTCCAATCCAAGTCGTGCGTTGGTTCTTGTTAATCCTCGATGCAAGTCTAGAATCATTTCTGTGGACGGCGCCTTGGTGGGTTCCGGTTGAAACAAAGGTGCACCTCCGGCTCAACTCTCAACCAATAACACCACCAACACCACCACCACCCTTACCTCACCGCAGATCGAGGACCCTTCCAGGACCGTCCCCTACCCGCCCCGGCCTCCAGCAGCCTCCTCCAGCCCAGCCGTTACCCGGAGATACACGCTCCGCGGGACCGTGGGACAAAAGTGTGCTGGTCCGGGCCACTCCGAATGGGGAAGCCCGATATCCGCACCACCTTCCAGCAGCGCGTCGACCACGTCCCGGTGTTCAAGCTGCGTCGCCAACTGCGCGACCCGCCCACACACGAAGCCAAAGTTCCATGAGCCCCTGTGCTCCGCCGCCTCCTGCCAGGAAGCGTGCCACTCCGGCGCTAGCCAGGTCATTGAGTGATACGCAGTGTTAGGGTCCGCGCCGTGGCTCAACAGCAAGCGAACCATGGCCGCGTCGCCGTGTCTCGCTGCGCGAACGACGGGGGGGACAACAAAGTCCCAACTCGGGCCCCATGGGGAGTCCTCATAGCCGCAGAGGTGCAAATCGTAGTGGGATGTCCGCGGGGGCGGCAGGGGATGGTCTGTGGTGTCGAAGTCGCAGGGGACGCCGCGGGAAAGAAGGCATGTGACTGTGGGTATGTCCTTTTGCTCGACGGCCAGGCAGAGCGTTTTTAGCGCGAGAATGCGACTCGTTTTGGGGGCAAGAATGTCCACGAGCTGCGTCCTCCGCTCTCTGGCTGCCCGGGTGAGCGCAGGGCCGTACCTCTCGTCGAAGGTACGATTAGGATCCGCACCCCGGTCGAGGAGGAGGAGGACCAGGTCCGCACGCCCAAGCTCCACTGCCCATTCAAGCGCTATGATCGGGACCTCGCACAACAATGTCTTGGGCGCAATCGTTTCGATGGGTGTAATGTTGACGAGGAGGATGGGAGACATGAGTATGGTTGCTAGTACGTCACTGGCGCAGCCGTCGAGAATACGGGCGACTTTCTCCGTGCTTTGCCTCGTCTGTAACGCCGCCTTGAGCCGTGCCATGATTGCTTCGGGCTCGCCGCCCTCACATTCAGAGTCTGCCTGAAGAGCGTTCGCAGCAGCCTGATCTGGGCTCAGATGCACCCGCTCGGAGAGACCCGGTTGAAGATATCAGACGAGCTTCGCAGACGTCCTATAGTCTGTTCGGGTTTGCGGCCGTTGGCCAGTTGACCATATGGGTACTCCTCGTACACATAACCCCCGGACTCGCGAAACTTTCGAGGCGGTTGGGTAGTGCCCTTGAAAGGTGAATTTTTGAGGATGTTCTTGGCATCGTGTGGTTGAAAAGGGCTTAGTTCAGAACAGCCAGCGCTGGGATGTTGCCAATCGAGACCCACGAAGAAGTCGTGTTCCTTGATCTCTGATACACCATGTACTCCTCCCAAGCGCTGGGTTGGGTTTTTGTTCAGCAGGCGTCGTAAAATATCTGCTGTGACGCACTGGACGTATGTGGGCACGTCCAACTCCTCCATGAGGATCTTGCGATCTCTCTCTACCGGATCTTGGTGATAGAAAGGGGGCAAGCCGGTCAGAATCTCGTGAAGGAAGCTCCCCAATATCCACCAGTCCGTTAGTTGAGACGGTCCATCACCACTCAGAATCTCGGGAGCGGTATGTGCCATTTGGCCGAGGCAGCAACTATGGTCGGTCGTGAACAGCCTCGGGGTGATGATACGGATGTTACCAAACACATCCAAGAGGATATTCTCGGAGCTGAGCAAGCCGATTATATTCAAGTCGTGCAGGCTTTCCAGTGCACATACAAGCTGTGCAGTGTATAGCTGAGCCTTATTGTTGGTCACCCGGCGGCACCTCTGGACGCGGCCAAGGAGATGGCAACAGCTCGAGATCGGGCTCAAGAGATGGAGGTGACCGGGGGATTTGTACACGAATCGGACGGGTTGAATCCAAGGGCTTTCAAGAGAGAACTTAGCCGATCCCTCCCGGTAGTCTTCTGCAGATATGGTCGTCATGAGGTAGAAAGTGTCAGTGTCCTTCGCTTCGACAAGCTCAAGACCACCAAGATCACGACGTGTCCCTGTGAGCCATTTATTCTGCTCCATATCTTCCATCATGCCAGAAAGATGGGCTCGTGAGAATGTGACGGTCATTTCGATCTCGACGTCCTCGAAGGGACAGGACTCCATTGTCATTGTGCAAGACTCCCCAAAATGGCCCTAAGCTGAACGAGCCAAGATTCATGACCGCATCGCCCCCCCCTAGCGACTGATTCGAGTCTAAGTGGCGCTCAAAAAGCAGGTGCAAGATGGCCTCGCAGGGCTGCGCCATGAGAGATATGTCGGACCGAATAGTTGTTGCGTGTCCGCCCCATCCCGAGCCCGCGCCAGACCCTAATATCGGCCAATTTCTGAGGTCGAACTCTGTGAGCGAACCGTCGTGTTCCAATATCGCTCGAGGCTTCCATTGCCCCTGAACATTTGACCCAAGCTTCCAAAGGTTGAGGCATAAAATGCCATATTCGACTTGATCGGCGGATACGGTCAGGGGTAGGAGATGATCGTTAGCATCGGCTGCAGGCGCGGATGTCCGGTCATCTGGCCATGACAGAGACGGCGCGTCGCAACTTTTGTTCTTGTCTCCTGCGGGCTGCTTCATGATCGAATCCAGCGAATAAGTCATTAAGCCCTGAAATGTTCCATCAGTACTTTCGCACTGCTCTCAGGGCGTTGCCGGTGGGCAACAACACTCACTCACCTTCAAGTATCGATGGTTCCGAGACTACAGACATGGTGAGCGAATGCTTCGAGTTTGACCTTTTGACGATCTTAAGTTTCCACTCTGGTTGACAATCCAGAGTCGGTATGTCAAGTGGGAATCAGGGAGAGGGGAAGTTTAGTGACGCGACAGATTGCGGGGTTTATAAAGCGAGGAGGTGGCATGAGAGATGACATAATCTGCTCTTCATAATATCACTTTATCATGACCGTCATCCTTCATCCCTCCATCATAAATGCCATGTATAGATGTGAGGATGTAGATGGCGACCAGGTGGACATGGCGATCTAGACCTGACGGCGATTTAGCTGAGATGGCAGCCAGCAGACCAGGAGATCTGGGGGGCTTAAGCGACATGACTGGCTTGATTTGCTTCCGCCAAAGCTGAAATAAGAGATCACATAGGCTATGGCGCAGAACTCGACTGTGAAGATATGTAGTGGTCGCCAAAGGTGAATTGTATTTTAGCTAACGGGGTCGCGGAGTACAGGAAAACCTCGCTGGGACCTTTTGACATCCAAGGGAAGCGCAGTCTGCGGCAGCCTGCTTCTTGCAAAAAGCATCGCATTCTCCAGTAGGACCGCTGTCCGGATTGTTCTTGCACAGATCGTACCCTGGGCCAAGGCATCTAGATCGCTGTTCAGCGACACAACTGGTCTAGCAGCCCCAGGTACGACACTCATGCTCGGCCTGGGACTTGCACCTTTTGTCGCAAGAAAAGGGAGGGCCTCCATTACTTGGCTCCTGACAAACCGCCAGGTGGCTTGCCATGTAGTCAAGCCGCCTGATGCCGACGCATTGGATGGCCTCTTTGTACTGGTGGCATCCCACCATTCTGCACTATCAAAGGGCAGCAGGCAAACACATGCCATGCCGACAATTTCCCCGTGCCCTCGGTTCGCGCCATATTGTGGCGAGAAAATTAATATCCTGTTCATGCTCAAGAATTCGGAGTCAGATTGTCTTGTGATCATTCTGGCAAAAGGCCTTCAGTGTCTTTGTAGCAGTCGGTGCACCTCTGCGGCGCAGCAAACAATCATCCGGCCGGTAGAGTCTGGCCGATGCGGCCAGTGCGAGAGTTTAATAGTCAGGGGTAACTCAGCTAAGCATATCACATTTCTGTGTTGGTTGTAGGTACATGGACCAACCTGAGCACCTTCGTGTCCATGCAGGCTGCGCTCCATTATTGTAAGGGTCCAGTCCACTTCGTGGAGCGTCACCCTGGCACCATAAGGAGCTGCTGTCTTATTCAGCCTATTCACAGCAGTTGTTAGCATTAAAATTATAGTGAATGTGCCCTGGCTCGTCCGACGCAGCGCATCGTACTGGACGCGATAACAGGACGCAGCCCAAATAAAATAATCTATTATGGTAACCGGCTGTTTCTTTTGGGAAGCTAGACCGAGATGAAGGTATTTGGATCTAGTAAATTATAGAAACAAGAGGGAATCACGTCCCTTCTTGAGTACCCGGGCGCGGATTCCGGGTAGCGAGACGTCAGGCAAGCTAGGACCCCAAGATGCCGTAGTTGACCCACTCAGCCCACGAGCGACATGACCGACATTCTTATCGCGGCTCCTATGCGTAATTACACAAAAGAGTCAGGAAGCAATGGCATCCATAAATAATTAGAGAAACGCCGTAAGGCCTAAATAGATTCGTCGCCTGGCTCTGTAGCCCCCATTTACTAGCATTACGGATATCTTCTCGCCGGGGTTCCAAATAAGAGCACTACTCGTTCATTCTTTTCACTATAAAGGGAGGATTCGCTTACTTGTTCTTCGCACTCCACACCGAGCTCAGTGGGCTGCTCTATATCCATGCTGCATACGAAAACGTCGTCGGCCAATACTCAGACAACTCCCCAAAGCGTTGCAGCGAGGCCGGCCCTAATCCGAACAACTGGACGAGGGTCCGCTACCTCGAGGCTCTGTTATACTGTGACTGTTCGACCCCAACGCCCAAAACGATATCAGCGGCGAGAACGCTGCGATCCCTTTCCGCGCCTTTTCCAGATCGAGTCCGTTATCAAGCCGGTCATCAAGGCCAGGCAGGACGATTCGGTCCTCTCAACTTCCAACAATTGCGGCGCCAATGTCGAGAAGACGATCTTACAGTTCCGGCACCTCATCGGCATCCGCAACACGCCCAGCCTTTGGCCTATCTACTAGCAGGCGAAGCAGAAGAGCGAGTTCTTCAAGAAGCTGAAGTCGATCAACAATCGGCCGGTGCCCCAACATCCCTGTGGACCCGGGCAAGACCGACAGCTTCGAGCAACGCACCATGGGGAGCTGTAATCCAACAACGAGAATGGCTGCGTTCTCATCTTTCCGGACACGGTGCACTTGTTGCGCAACATACCCGAAGCCTGAACTGTCTCGCGAGGGGTCGGCATCTATCATAAGGATGACTTTGCGTGGACGAACTTTTGGCCCGAAAAGGAGGACATAAGAGACGTTGCCGAATACGCTGTAGAAGGGTGGAAGAGATCGCGCAGTAAGTTCATCGTGACACAGTAGCTCAGCACGCCAGGTCCTTGAGTGTTAACCTTCGTATCCAGCATCCAGGCCGTCGCAGTACTACCGAACGACCCAGCGCTGTACTGGCGTAGCGTCCCGGAAACTACGCCGACGCCGTGCCCCAATGCCATCATAGTCGACTACATTGGCTAGCTAGTTATGAACGAGCAGCGCTAGAACGAGCTAGGCGGCAAGCTGAAGGCCGTCGCTATCGGCCTGAACCTGTATACGCTTAGCGAGTACTGCGATATTACAAGAGGCGGTCCGTGCTACTGCACAAGAAGAGCAGTGATGGGTGCTATGCTGCCGCGCCGGCGCAGGACAATCCCCTCGTGTCATCCTGGAACGGTATTATCTTCGCCAACGGCAAGGTCATCGACAACCCACCGCCGACCCTGCACGTAGGCCAGCGGGAGATTTTGAGGAACGGCACCAGGTTCAGCAACAGCACTCTGCTCACTAAGGACATCCGTGATCCCGAGTTCCAGGGGCTCTTCCACGCTAACCTACTAGGCCTCAGGTTTTAGATAGACGGTTAGGTGATCATTTAGTAGTCATGGTCAATATGCAGTAGCAGGCAGGTTTATAAATACTGCCTCTATAGATAGGCCTTAGACGTACTTTCCGTTGCCAGACGGCATGGGAAGCATCAGCGCCCACATCGTTCCTTGTTTCCTTCCCTTTTCTCCTATATAGGAATATGAAGCCTTCCGCCTCATTCATGTCATTCATATGCTATCTGTGGACTGCTGTGTGTGATATGTCGTGCGGTGTGGGATGTGCATTAGAATGAGTTTGCCAAGGCCTATGAGTAGCTAAACGCAAGACCCCAATTATTAGCCGGTGTCGCCTATCTTCTGAGCCGTCGAGGGCGGGGAGCCTCGGTTTGAACGACCCGGGACTCTTGCAGGCCTATCCTGTGCCGCAGGACTGCATTGTCGTGGGTGCGTTCTGTTTTAGTGCTCTCGCCCCGAATCACCCACCCCATTACGCTAGTGTGTCTGCTGCGACCCCTGCGCCTGCATCCATCTGGCTTGAGTTCTCATGTGCCCGTGCAGAGGAGAGGTATAGAGGCGCTGCGCCCAAGTCGCCGAGGAGCCAACAGCCCCGATTATGCACTCACACCTTCAACCACATAGAGTTCTAGCCCAAAACCACTCTCTCATACACTTCACTCTCCCTCACCCACAGCGCCATGTCGTCCACTTCACCGTCGGTCGCCGCGACAGTGACGGCGCTCCTCGCCCTCACCACACCCTTCGTGGCACCGCCCGGCTGCCCCCGCTTTACCACTACCAGTATCCATGATACGTCCTCCATTGACGGTGTCGCCGCCGTCCTCGTCGCCGACGACCCTTCCTGCTACCCTGATGGCTGGGCTGACGTCGTCCCCGAGAGCCGTATGCGTTTTAGCCCTGGTGTGTGCCCCAGCAGCTGGGTCTACTACGGCATGGGCAGAGCCGGTGCCCCGGCCGGGTTCACGGCCGCCTGCTGCGACAGGTGCGCACCTTCACTCCCCCATGATCGAACGATCCCTGGCTGACAATAGCATGTAGCGGATACACCCTCATCAACTTTGAACATAATGAACTCGTCGCGCCATACATCAACGACGGCTGTGGCCGGTGGACATCAAGGCTGAATGCCGATGCGGGCTTGGACAACGCCACTATCACGGGCAGCACCCTCCTCGTGCACAGGGCCTGGGCCATCACCTGGCAGGCCTCTGACATTCCCACCCTCACCCCCCAGCCGCCTTCCCTCACAAACGACATGTGGGTGCCGACATGGACGCCTGGCGAGGTCATCCCCGACGGAGAGCACGACCGCTCCCCCAACGGCGACAATGTCAACCATTTTCTGCCTGCGTCCCTGTACATGTTAATTTGTATTGGTATTCCCCTCATCAGCGTCTTCTGTATCTGCTCGTGCGTAGTCTGCTGCGTGCGGAGCAGCAAAAAGAAGAAGACAGCGCGGCGGGCGGCGGCGCTGCAAGCCACAGCAGGAGGTGGCAACGTGCAAAGTGAGCATAAATAGCTCTTACTCAATGGCTCTGACTACATGAAATTGCATCGACGAAGGTCCCCTCAAGGGCCATGGCAGTGTGTTCCCCAATCATTTTGCACCCCGAGTGTGCTGAGCGAGCTCACATCATTGGCATGATGGATGGCTTCGTTGAGAAGTTACAGGCAAGGGCATTAGCGGCTCAATCGGGAGAGATAACGCTCAAGAGGTTGGAGACTGTGTCCAGAGACTGGAGGAGCCGAGTCTAGATTAATAATACCGATGATCCAGGCGTTCCTACTACAACCGTGCGAAAGATCACATCCTACGAGACTCGTCAGAGCAAGGAGCATCAAATAATCAGCAGAGGGAGTTTACTGTTCAAAGCACATCTTCTAGGCCTTGGTACCTGTATTGATGTACTTCTACTGGGTGTCGGCGCAGCCTCCGTCTGTGTCTGTCCACATTATTCTGTCGGGGTCGGTGAAAAAAGAACATCCCCGCGCAACGTATCGGCGGCAAGCTAACGCCAATTTGACTGGACCTTAACATGCCTGGCTGGGCCAGTCCCCAGCGCAACAGATGCTTTGGCCATTGATTCTGCCGTTGGGCGGCATAGCAGGTGAGGGATTATCGTCTGATCACGAGCAGATACTCGACACGCACTCCGTCTGCTTCATTGGTTCTGAGAAAATGGCAGTTGGCTCTTGTGTCCGCCGACCGACCAGGACACGGTGCGGTACATTCGGACTTCTGCGGATCCAGCAGAGTAAAAGGCGTTGGGGTGAGCGGATCCTTGCATGCCCAAGTTGATCTGCGTGACCTGAGCGGAAAGAAAAGCTTGCAACACAGGTGGCTCGGGCTTCGTCGTTGAAATTCAGTTGGCGCTAAAATATGCGGAATGGATCCCAACCCCTGCCGCATTGAAGGATATTGGCGCTAGAACCAAGCATTGTAGGGGCCGGGCCGTGGCTTGTCGCTTTCCCCGGCCGCCCCTGCCTAAAGAAGAGGACCGGTACATTAGGCAGGTACCTACATGTAAGTACCCCGCGTTTGCACTGGGCAGGAACGCTCATCGGACGTCCGCTCCGCCCCACCGCAAATCCAGCTTGTCACGGTTGCATATCTTGCCGACTCGAGAGTCATTTTCCGATTGAATCCTGGGGCATGCAGAATACCTACCTTGCTGGCAAACGACTCCTCTTCGCATACAACGTCAACCATCGCCGCCAACACGGCACAGCACCCAACATACTGATCTATAGACTCATCCACTGCGACGGAGGAGGCCGCCGAAAAGAGCGCAGAATGTCGATTTTTGTGCCCCTCAGCCAACACCAAACCACACGATTCATATTTAGCCGAGCCGTGACAGCTAGCCGTTCGGTTGTACGATAGGCCAGAGCCCTATCGGTCATGCTTCTCATGTCAAGGCCGAGGTCCTGTCTGGACCAGCCCGTCATGTGAATGATGTCCTGCATGTCCGGAGCTGAGGGCTCGAGGCAAGAGAGGGAGAGAGGGGAGACGGTGAGAGTCGTCTGTCCACCAAGAAGAACGAGAAGACGAGGTCTGAGCTCGGGTCATGATCAGATCCCAGCCGATACAAGCTTATAATGGCTTCAAGTCTTGTTCATGGAAGCCAGAGCCGACAGAGCCCTCTCTCGGTCAGTCAGTCAAGCTCCCTCTCCCACTAGGTTCCCTTCCTCCTCCTCCCGGCATCTCACCCATCACACCCTCTCCTCCTCATACCACCACACGTGGCCATCACGATGGCCGTCCTTTCGTGGAAAGGCCTGCTGGCCTTGGTCGCTGGCCTCTCCTCGGTTGCCGCCGTGTCTGTCCGCAGCAGGGACGGCGACAAGCCAGGCCTGCCATATGACGAGAACACCACGTCGTACTGTTCTTGGTGGCTGGACAACAATGGCTCCACTTCTTACCAAGATATCCTCGACAAGAACTAGATCGACCTCGCGACCTTTTACCGCTGGGTGAGTCATTATTTGTCTTCAAAATTGCTATGACTGGATGAAGCTTGCTGATAAGACATCAACTCGTATCACAGAACCCTTCCGTGAAGAGTGACTGCAGCGGCCTTGCGACTGGCAGGAGCTATTGTGTCGAGGCGTTTGGCCAGCCGGAGCCCGGGATCACGACCACGGCTGCTGTGACCACCACTAAGGCTCCTACCACAACTGTGGTGCCGACCACAACTACTGCGGCCGGCAACGGCATCGAGACCCCTACACCCGTCCATAACGGCATCGTCGCCAACTGCAACATAATCTACCTCGTCAAGGGCGGCGACACCTGCGCCGTCATTGCTCAAACGCACCTCATCCGCACCGCCGAAGTGGTCTCGTGGAACGGCCTCAACGTCGCATGCACCAACCTCTGGGAAGACACCTATGCCTGTGTCGGCGTCGTCGGCTCGACGTCCACGGCCCCCAAGCCAACCACGACGTCCGTTGGCAACGGAATCTCAACGCCGACGCCTATCTAGTTAGATATCGTGTCCAACTGCAACAGGTTCCACCTTATCGTGTCAGGAGACAGATGCTCAACAGCCTCCGCCAAATATGGCATTCCTGTTGCGAATTTCCTCGAGTGGAATCCCAAAGCGTTCAGTAACTGTTCCGGGCTCAAGCAGAACGCCTACGCGTGTGTATCCGTTATAGGTTTCACACCGACGCCTACCAACCCTGGGAACGGCATCACGACACCAACCCCGACGCAGCCAAAAATGGTCACCAACTGTGATAAGTTTTACTTTATCCAGTCAGGCGACCTTTGCTCTACTGTGGCTATGCGTAGTGGTATCTCGGTGGACGACTTTCTCAAATGGAACCCCGCTGCAGGCTCTGACTGTGCTGGCCTATGGGCTGGAGCTTATGCGTGCGTCAGCGTCATCGGCCACACGCCCACCGCACCCGGCAACGGCATTACCACGCCAGTTCCAACACAGCCTGACATCGTCAATAACTGTAACCGTTTCCACCTCGTTATATCAGGCGAGCGCTGTTCCACTGTATCCGCGCAATACAACCTGCCAGTTGATTTGTTCCTCAAGTGGAACCCCAAAGCACTTAGTAACTGCTCAGGGCTCAAGATCAACTCATATGCATGCGTCAACATCATCGGGTATACGCCCACGACCCCTACGAATCCTGGAAATGGTGTTCAGACACCGAGCCCAATTCAGGATGGCATGACGAAGAGCTGCAAAACCTTTCACTACGTCGAGAGTGGTCAGACCTGCGCAACGATTCAGACGAGGTATAAGGTTACCCTCGCGAACTTATTCAGGTGGAACACCGCCATCGGCGCGGATTGCCGCAACATGTGGGCCAATGCATACGTCTGTGTTGCGGTTCTGTAAGGGATCTCGGTGAAAACATGGGTCATGAGAGCTCGAAGGCGGTGGAAGCTTGACAATACAGCACCATGTACAGACGGTTGGACGCACGATTCACGTGATGAGACCACCGAGGCGGTGATCTATAACATGAAAGGAGAATACAC